AATACTTGGTTGTGTTTTTTTGGAGGGGGGGAGAGGAGGCAATCTCCCATAATTCTTTTTCATCATATGAACACAATTCCAGAATTATTAAAGAGGTCTCTATCTACTGTCTTCACATCCCATACAATTTTATATTCCCATTGTTTGACATTAAACTGTTTTTCCATAATAATATAAACAAATCATTTCTATTAAGGTCTATCAAACTAATATATAATACCACAAGTGCATAAAATTAATTTGAAAAAATAAATAAAATTTATTTTTATTAATAAATAAAATAAATGAACTTTACTATTTTTTATGCCTTAAACTCTTTCATTTCATTATCTATTCAGTGGGGGAAGTAAAAAGAAAGAATAGAGGAACTACTGGTGTTAGTGTGACAGTTTCTCTTTCACGTCTCGCAGCATTGGCTTTGCGGTTTACATTTCTCTGACACAGGCGAACAGACAAAGCATTACAGACTCAAGAGGCAACACGTACAGTGAGCAATCCTGTAATTTTGCAGAAGGATGTTGGATGAGATGCATTAATATCCACTGTGGAATTGATGATACCTATGATGGGAAGACGTTTTGTTTTGACATATATTTAATATAATGGTTTAATGGTTCGTTTTTTCTTGTTAATGTGAAATTTGTGTGCCTAGGAAAAGTGATATTTAGTGACAAAAAGTAGAGTTCCGGTGGAATTCCCCTAAACGTGGTGTAAAAAATCCCCGAGAAAAAAAGGAAAGAAGCTGGTAAGAGCGCAATGATCAAGCAAGAAAATGTATTTTTTTCTCAGGAGAGCAGAACCCACAAAATAGTATATCCGAACTAGGGAAGGTAGAAGATTATCCTGATCTATAAACATGAAGCTGGAAAAACCTTACTGATCAGAGCACAGACCAACTCTTCGATCTACTGCATCATATTTATGACTCACATAACACAACTCACAATAGGTGTTTTATTTAATGAATCACATGTATTAGATTTCTAGAGTCCTGCATAATTATAATGGATCTAAAACACTTTTATCAGTTGCAATAGATTGAACTCTAAACTGATTCCAACAAAACTCAGGACTTCGTGGGAATAGAAAACACCACGTAAATTCGAGGTCTTCATTGCTGATCCTTATTTTGCCTCTGAAACCTCTGTTTCAAGTCACTGAAGGCCCCTGAGTGCCCCTAAGGGCGTGATGGCGACCCTATGGCACGCCTTCCAAAGGTGGCACACGGAGCTCTCTCTACAGGCATGTGAGCTGTCACCCCAGCTCAGTGCCACAGCATATGCACGTGTGCCTCCCGCCAGCCGGCTGATCTTTGGGTCTCTGCTGTGCATGTGGGAGATGCATGAGCATACACGAGGGGGATGGGGAGAGCAGCACGCCCTCCTGCCGCCCATTTTTGGTCCCAGGAGGCTTCAGGGAGGACTGCTAGGCCCAAAACTGGCTGGGGGGGGGCATGCACATGCGTGGAAGAGCGGGGGGTGCAAGGAGGGTGTCACATGCACGGGGGAGCAGGGCAAGCGAGGTGTGTCACATGCACATTGCACTATGGGTGTGGGCACATGCACGCATGCTGTTGCGCATGCACACTTTCGGCTCACAAGGACAAAAAGGTTATCCATCACTGCTCTAAGGTGATGAGAACCAAAGGATCACAGCTTTTACATACCTTAAGGTGGCCTTCAGCAGTATCATTGGTAAGAAAAACATTGTTTCAATACTAGTACAGCTAACAGTGACTCATGAAAAGGGGCCACGATGAAAGCCACGTCATAGGAATGAGGAAGAAAAAATATGCCCGGGCATGTTTGTGAGGGTTGGATGCAAGTGGGGGAAGGCCGTAAATTATATAATTTAATTCAAATGAATCAAAATAACTTCTGTGGAGTTTGGAAAAATAGGTGTATTTCAGATTAGATAACACTAGAAATCAAGATAAATGTATCTTGTGAGATTAAAGGTGTTACCATTGCTCAGGATTTAACTACTTGCTACATGCTCAGTATTTTCCCTTTGTTGCATTTAACATTAAAGAAAATTTCTTCAATAAGAATTGATTTGTTTCCTTTGTCATAAAGGGAGCTGATGCCTTGGTCTGAATTATGTCATTCAGGCCAATAGGTTTTGCTGGAAATTCTCCACCCGTGAATACAGTACCCACTTCAGCAAAAGAGGAACTATTCCCAATCTGTATCCTGATTGCTATTCCTTCAATGTAACAAGCAGTTTATACAACATATTTAATTTATTCAATATGGGTGCTACTCATCTCCCACTGTTTCCACGCAGCTCACAACAGAATAATATAAAAACAATATTCTGTAGAGATTCTCAGTCATCCAGGTCAGGTTGTCCCAAAGATGCTTTTTTTCAGAAGGCAACTACACTTTTCTTGTTTTTCGCTTCTCATCCAAGAGCCTTCTTCAACTCTGATAAGATAGTGGGCCCTGTCAGAGCTGAAGAAACTTCTTGGATGAGAAGCGAAACATCTTCAAAGAAAAAAACAAGAAAAGTACAGTTGCCTCCTGAAAAAAAGCACCCTTGGGACATAAAAACAATATACAAAAAATAACCGGAGTAGCCCAAAAGATAACTACAAAATAATTATGTGAAGGCATAAACAACAAAGCCAACATAAAATGTGGCAAGCAGAGGAATCCCACCCACCTTACTATCTGTATAGGTTTTTCAATGCCTTCCAAAATATCTTCAGAGTACGAGATGCAGGGATCTAGGGTGGATCTAATTCCAGAGGGAAGATACCACTGAGATAAAATTTCCCAGCTTCAGAAGATGACACTGTTTAATTGAGGGGCTTTGGAGCATGTCAACCCTCCCAGATCAGACACAGGATGGACAGAAATCATGAGGCAGCAGGTGGCCCTTCAAATAGTAGCCCTATGCCATACAGAGCTTTGTAGGTAATAATTTACTATCTTAAATTACATCTAGAAACCTGCTGGCAAACTATGCATCTTGCAGAGCATAGCTCTCTCTCGCTCTCTCTCTCCCTCCCTCCCTATCTCTATCTATCTATCTATCTATCTATCTATCTATCTATCTATCTATCTATCTATCTATCTATCTA